CGCCCCTAAGCGGGGCGGGCTTTCGATGATCGCAAGTACGATCTGCCTGTCCAAAATGGGCAGATCGTACGAGCTTTAAATAAGCTTACGACCATCGCAAGACAAAAGTCTTGCGATGGTCGTAAGGTGTATGGGCACCTTAAGGTCCCTATCTCACATGCACACATACAGGGCCAATTTAGACAGGAGCCAATGAACCTTCCAGCATGTCTTTGGAGTGTAGAAGGAAACCAGAGTACCCGGAGGAAACCCACGCTAGCACAGGGAGAACATGCAAACTCCTTGCAATCTCCTGGCTGGGATTCAAACCAGGGACCCCCAGTGCTGCAAGGCAGAAGCACTTACCGCTACACCACTTTTTTACACCACACCATATTTTTTAATGTTTTTAGATCGGCACCAAAAGCATAATTTGAACAGTTTTGTATACCTTCTCTACCTGTAAACTGTATGAACAATTCCACACTTGCATACATTGCGAGGCACATACTTAAAGGAAAAGTATTCGGAAAGTAAATGTACTCTACCCAATACTTAGAGCTGGCTTGAGACACAGCATGCAGCTGTCACATGGTAACCCAATAGTTCAAGAATTGAACGATCATGTAATCACCGATTGCTCAGCTCACCGTCTTCCCCATGCAGAGATCGGTGACTGTCAGTCACTGCTCCCCGCAGGGATTCCCCTCCCCTCTCTGCTCCTCCAGCACTCGATGGAGGAACAGACAGGGGAAGTGAGCAGGCATGGCTGTCTCTGGCTCTAGAGAGGCAGAGTCAACTGTCAATCAGGCAGTGGGGTAGATCCTAAAAATATTGTCAGGATCCTTCCCAGCTGCAGCGTGGAGGTCATTCCTGAGCTTGATGAAGGGGATCCTGCGTGGCCCCAAAAGCACTTGATTATGTGACAATATGCGTCAATAAATAGACATTTGATTTTGACACTTGACTTTGGTGTGCTGGTGACATCCTTATCCAGACCTATTGAAATTGGCACCATCCGTGGTCACTTCCAGCACCCAGGATATTGTTCTTTGGGATAACCGGTAAGGAGGGCAGCAGGACCTCTGTTTATTGTCTCCTGAGTTTGGGTCACTCCTGTGATCCAAAAGAGAACTAAAGCCAAAAAAAGGTTTGACTTTAATTCTCTTATAGTTTCATGTGCATATGATATGCTTGTTTACACATGATCAGGGATCAGATGTACGCACATATCGTTTATCAAACCAGACCCTCTGAATGTGGATTGGAATCATAGCCTATTAGCATTTCCATGCAAGCATCGCTCCATGGTAAATTCTTCCTGAAAGGGTAACTGAGAAATAGCATGTTAAAAAAAAAAAAGAAAACTGAATGCTACAAACCCTGCCAAATGTTAATGTCGTGATAATTGTTGATGAAAGCATTCCACAGTGTCAATATTGTCCATCGCTCCACTCCTCCCTCTCTATAGCTCAGAGGGGAGGATCTATACTCACATACTTAGGATTACAGAGCTGAAGCTCGGCCTGAGATCATTATTTTCCTACACTGCCTGCTGCAACATCTGAGCTCCCCAAACATGTCTGCAATCATTTTAATTTTACAGCTCATATTGGCTGTTATAATGCTTCCTCTCTACATACTTTACTACCTTGGAATCTGGGGTTTGGTATTAAAGAAAATATTTCCCTTTTTTATGGCCAAACTCACTGTAACATATAACAAGGTGATGGAAGAGAAGAAAAGGAACCTATTCAGCAACATGTCTGACTTTGCAGGCACATCTAAAGAGCTCAGGCTTCTAGAGATTGGTTGTGGCACAGGTGCCAACTTCAAATTCTACCCCATCGGATGCAGGGTGACCTGCCTGGATATAAACCCAAATTTCCAAAAATTTCTCAACAAAAGCCAAGCAGAAAGTGACCACCTTAAATTTGATAACTTTCTAGTTGCATCAGCGGAAAACATGACGCCCGTGGCTGACGCTTCTATGGATGTGGTTGTATGTACCCTGTTGACTTGTTCTGTGCCAAACACGCCAGGAATACTGAAGGAGGTGAAAAGGGTCCTTAGGCCGGTAAGTTTTGAATTAACCTAGCACAGGTGCCAAAACAGAAATGAATACTTGCTATAGGCAGCATGCCCACGTTTGCTCTTGTTTTTATTCTTGTATTTTATGGTTTTTGTTGGTCTCGGTACATTAAACCCATAGGTAAATTATTAAGCTCCTGCAGTGAATATGTGACCGCAAAGTTAACGGATAACCTATTTATATCATTGTGCAGCTCTCAAACACAAACTTATAATAGTAACAAAGTCTGTTAGTTCAAGTACTTAGACAGCATTGCCAAGGTGTCAGTGTCACGCTGCACACAGCTGGGAACGTGCACGTACTACAGATAGGATTACAGATTATCATTTATTTGTATTACATTTAAAATGGCAAAAACAAGAACCATTGCTTTGTTCTAGTGTTACTGATACAGAATGTTCTGCACTGAATACAATCAGGTCAGCCTGTGCTGCACATGAAAGGTTTTGCCTTTGTTGCCTGTATGGCTTTGATACAAACTCATGTCAGAGAAAAGAAAAAAATACAATCATGAGATTTATGTCACAGCACAACAATCAGTCACATTACACTTTGCAAGCATGCAACAAATGTTAACTTCACTGTTTGCAATTTATAGGTCAGAAGACCAACCAGAATCCCAAATGTATTTTTATTTCCTAAATATTTACCATTTGCATGCTAAAAAAGTTAAACCTCTTGTGGCAGTGCATGGCAATGCCAGGGTGTCTTTTGGCAATCTAGTAACCCAGGTCTCTCAGCCAGGGGGGCTGAGCAGTTCCAGAAAGTGCAAACGTTTACCGGGAAAGAGCTGGCTTTGCAGTTCTTCCCAGGTTTTCCGGATTTGGCATGGGTTCCTGGAACTGAGAGATTTCAAAGAGCATTGGGAGGGATGAAATCTCCATTCCTGGGTCCAGGCTTTAGGGGTAACCAGCACTGAAAGATTGTGCACCTGGGCACAGCCCTTATGAGAAGAATGCTGGCTCATGTCCAGGGCCCCCACCTGTGAGTCAGGAGAACTCCACCCAGGAGTCAGAGTGGAGGCCAGTGCTGCGGGTTCGTGATACCTATTGTGCAGGTTAGCACGTTACTGGGGTTGTCTGGAGGTGACAGACAGGGGCCCTGGGGATTGAGGCCGGAGCAGCAGTGCTGCAAGAGAAGCTATTAAAACTGTTACAGGACTGGGACACTGTGAGTGTGTGTGACACCTCGAGGATTGGTGAGCCCATATATGTTATATGCTGGAGACGAGCTATTTATGTTCCTTTACTGTCTGCCTTTTGAAAGAGAAATAAAGACTTTTCGTTAATGGAAAAGCTGTGCGAGTGATCTGTGAGCTCCCCAACATTACACTCTTTATACTATAATACATGCACAATATATATCTACATACAATATTTTCTTTAAATAAAAACTCTGGGTATGTACAAAATGAACCCTTGCAGTGGGGTTACCACCTCCCGGCACTGCAAGTGTTAAGTGCTTGTTTTGGTGTAGCATCTAAAATAAAAGATATACTCACCCAATCCTCGGTCTGGCCTGGCTGCTGCAACAGTCCTGTCTGCCTCTCCTCCTGAAGTCTAAAGACCTGTGACATCATCACATCCATTCTATTGCATTGGACATGAGGACGCTGAGGAATGTTCCACAGCCGATGTAGTGGGAGAGACAGGGGAGCGGTCACCACTGCAGCACCAAGGATCAGTGTAAATATATCTTTTTTATTTTAGACCCTAGGCTAAAATGAGCACGTAATCTTTGCAGTGCGGGGGTAGCCCCATTACAAGGGTTCATTTTGTACATGCCTGGAGTTCTTTTTTAATATCATGTACATGAATCAATGGCCCAACAATGATTGACAACCTCCAGCATTCTAGAACCTAGATCAGTGGTGGCCAACTGAAAAATAATAAAGGGCCTCAAGTGTGGCCCCTGATACTTCTAGAGGGCCACAGAATAGCATCATGTTTTCCTGCGTTGAGGTGAATTGCGCCAAGTTGAGCCGCCATTCAAAATAAATGGACTGTAACGCAACTTAACACCCAAAAAGTTTGGTCATGCTGTATTTTTGCACCATACAACAATGCACACTGCAGAGAAGGTAAGAGTAGTCATTGTTCCCAGTGTATGCACTAAAACCCCCCAGCATTGGTGTCAGTAACTACAATAAAAGCCGCCAGCAATGATGTAAGTGACAGCAATAATAACCCCCAGCATTGGTGTCAGTGGCAGCAATTATAACCCCCAGCATTGGTGTCAGTGGCAGCAATAATAGCCCCCCGGCATTGCTGGCAGTGCTGTTAACTCCCCCTGCACTGGTGCTCACTAGCAGTGCTATGAACTCCCACTCCCCATTGGCAGTCAGTGCAGTGGCAGTAAATGAACCCTCTAGTATTGGTGACCGGTGTAGTAACAGCGAATTAACCTCCACATCATTGGTGGTCAGTGCACTGGCAGGGAATTAACCCCTCCCCCCTCCAGCATAGGTGGTTTGTGCAGTAGCAGAATGGCAATGAAATGTAACTTCCATTACCTGATCACTTCCTCCTTTGCCAACATGGACAGGACTATACTTGCGCTGTTGGGTGGAGATATCCACCTGACAGTGCTGCCAATTTCAGTGCCAGATACTGAAATGCAGAGAATATTTCATCACCTGGCATCCCGCTGCCACTCTGCGACATGTTTGGGTGCCCAACAGGTGGTAGACCCAGCAGACCATACACAGACATCTAGCAGGCTGTGTGTTGGGCATCATGGACCTAGATGGGAAATCCAAAAAGCTTCCTTAGACAAAAGGCTGGCTCCTAATCCAATAACCACTCGGCCAATCTGGAAAAAGAACGATGTTAAATCTCCCCCATATTGTGTGTGTATTCTTGTATATAGAAATGTAAGTAATTTAGCATGCAGAGGGTAAAGACTTACTACCATCAATTTCCAGGGAAGGGCCAGGGTTAGCAAAGTACTGAAACAAGAGGAGCAGTATGCAGAGACAAGAATATGAGTTTCAAAGAGGTTCCCACCGCACTCCTTACTGGTATGTCTCTTTTAAAGTGGGTGCTGCAGTGATAGTGGATGGCGCCACTTCAAATCCAAGTAGTAAAGTACTGTATATAACCAGCACACCAAAGTAAAATCTTCAACGAGTGGTAATTTTATTGATGTACACACATCTCGTCATAAAGCAATGTTTCGGGGCCACTCAGGTTCCCTTCATGACCGTGTCATGCCTAATGAAGGGACCCTGAGTGGACCCTGAAACGTTGCTTTATGACAAGATGTGTGTACATCAATAAAATAACTACTCATTGAAGATTTTACTTTGGTGTGCTGGTGATATGCTTTACTACTAAGAATATGAGTTTGACCCAAACTCAGTCTGTTCACACTTCGGCAAATAGGCAAACAAATTGGCCACAGTGGCGTCAAAAGGGGGGTGCTGGGGGTGCGGCCCGCAACCCAAGTGACACCAATGGAGGGGTGACACCAAAATGACCGACAGTCATTTTGGTGTCACCCCCTCTGAAAAGTCGGGCATTCGGTCATTGACTGAGAGCCCGACAGTGTCAGGAGAGAGGAGGGGACCCGGCGGCATACCTCATCCCGCCGGATGAACGTCCCCTCCTTTCTCTGCCGGCTGCCATCACCAAGATGGCTGCCGTCAGACGTCAATAAGATTGCCATGCATGCGAGATTACATCATTGCGCACGTGCGTGGCGATGTCACGTACATGCACGATGACCTCACGACAGGGTGTCACCCGGTCTCCGCTCCTGGTGATACCCAGCCTCGGAACGCCGCTGACTGGCCATAATTGGCCAGTTCACCCACCCACTTAAACCTCCAGCTGATTTCGCTGGATCAGTCTGTTATTTAGCCGACCTCCCTTGCAAGGCACCTTGTACCCACAAAGGCTTCAGCCCCACATCCTCCCAAAAGTGGTGTTACGGTCTGCCGGAGAGGGGACCTATCACAACCTGGAAGCACAAACATACATATGTAGAGGCACACACAACCTTATGTAGAGAGCCATGTACCAAAGCAAGCGCATGTCCTCAGGCTGACTGAACTTCCTTTACAAGTACAAAATAATCACGCCCAATTCCACAACTGCATAGCCGGAACCCTCAAGTGCCATAACTTACTATTAGCACTCCTGTCTCCTGCCCCGATCCATGTTGCATCCCTAATAAAGGTCTCAAACAAGCTCAATAATACAGCCATTTGAAAAGAAAGTACATCTCATGGAAATTATTGACTTTTTCAACATATTTGAATGGGCATACATTGATTCAAATAGTGCCTACAGATAAAGGTGATATACTTGAACAAATTACAAATAAAATTAAAATGGTGTAAGTAAGTACACATCTACATTTTCCACCACATCAAATCCATGAAATTAGAATCCAGTCTTCCAGCCTAGGTGCCAGTGATAAGAACCTGATTAGGGAGTTTGCAGGAGGAGCCTGTCTTAGGAAAAAACAAAAACAAGGGGCGCCTTCCCTAGTGAGGTTTGTGCTTCAGAGGTTCTGAGGAAGGGGGTGTGGCCTTGGAAATGCGTCAACGTAGGCATACTATGCTGGCACACAGGATCACTATCTATGCAGCTCTCATACGCTGTGATTTGCTTTTTGCTTTAATGAGGATCAACCTTTGATGTGAAGGCTCATTGTCTTTTGTGAGTATTATCCTACTTTTGCTGTTTTTCAAATAAAAATGTTATCTACACTAGGGAAGGCGCCCCTTGTTTTTTCCTTAGATATCCCAGTCTCCCTGACTGATGTAGAGCAGCGACCTGTAGAACTCCTGTATGTAAATCTCTTCAGTGGACTGGTCATCTCTGGCGCTATTGATTTTTTATTTTTGTAAGGAGCCTGTCTTATTTAAAACTCAGATATCTAGGGTCAGGTGTTCTCTTTGCTATTGACATGTGTAGTGTCTTCATGCCAAGATCAATAGAGCTCTCTAAGGCCCTCAGAAAGTAGATTGAGAATGTCTA